AGGGATGGACACTGGGAAGAGGTAACTATGGGGAGGAAGTGGGAGGGGAGCTGTTGCATTGTAAATTTTGGTCAATGACATGAGACAAAGTATATTATGTGAACTGCTGTATGAAAAGTGAATTTACTCGGTAAATCTTCACCCAAATCAAAATAAAATTAAAAAAAAAAATATTACAGATACCACCAACAAACCCTAAAAACCATTTGTTTCTGGATATCACTCTCTTCCTGTCCTACCCTCCAATAATCTTAATGTTTATGATTGCCTTAAATGTTTTACTACTTAAAGACAATTTTACCTATGCAGTCATAAACAAGGTTATCATTTTGTAATTTTAAATTTTATATGATAGACATTTCTGCAACTTGTTTTTTCCCCACCATTATGTTTGAGAATATGCATACTGATGCATAAAGCTTGGCTCATTTTGAAAACTGTCAATATACCACAATTTATCAATTCACTTATTGGTGGACATTTGTTGTGGTTGTTGTTAGGTGCTGTTGAGTCGCCTCTGACTCATAGCGACCTTACATACTACAGAATGAAACACTGCCCGGTCCTGTGCCAGCCTTACGATCCTTTCCATATTTGAGCCAGTGGTTGTAGCTACTGTGTCAATCCATCTTGTTGAGGGCCTTCCCCTTTCACATAGAGCCTCCACTTTACCTAGCATGATATTCTTCTCCAGAGAATAGTCTCTTCTGACAACATGATGAAAATAGTTGAGAGGAAGTCTGGCCATTTTTGCTTCCAAGGAGCATCCTGGCTGCACTTCTTCCAGGACAGATTGGTCAGTTTGTTTAGCAGTCCATGGTACTTTCAGTATTCTTCGCCAACACCACAAATGAAAAGCATCAACTCTTTGATCTTCCTTATTCACTGCCCAGCTCTCAGATGCATATAAGGAGACTGAAAATATCATGGCTCAGATTAGGCACACCTTAGTCTTCAAGGAGACATCTTTGCTCTTCAGCACTTTAAAGAGGTCTTTTGCAGCAGATTTGCC